CCATATTTACATTGAACCTTATGGGAAAATTTGATTTGGGTCACGACTAAAATAGGTTGGCGACAAAATTCGCATGGTTCAGAACGGATTAACCATATTTACATTGAACCTTATGGGAAAATTTGATTTGGGTCACGACTAAAATAGGTTGGCGACAAAATTCGCAGAGGTCAGAACGGATTAACCGTATTTACACTGAACCTTACGGGAAAATTTGATTCGGGTCGTGACCAATTCAGGTCGCGACCAGAGTCATGGGACGAATTAAGTTCGTGACCTGAGGTACCACTGTAAAGGCAAAAAGCCGGTTTGGTCTAGTGGTGGAGGCCCCAGGCTAAAAAGCAGGAGAGAGTGAGTTCTAGTCCCGCCTTAGGCATGAAAGCCGGCTGGGTGGGTTTGGGCCAGTCCTTCTCCCTCAGCCCCACTCACCTCACAGGGTTATTGTTGTGGGGAAAATAGGGAGGAGGATTAGATATGTTTGCTGTCTTGAGTTATTTATAAAAATAATAAAGGCGGGGTAAAAAAAAATCTACATTTTTTTTCCTGCTACGTGTCAGGTCAGTGCAAGCAACCTGGTCACAGCTGAAGTGGGTAGAATGCAGCCAGCCAACATCAGCCCCCCTGCTGACCCTGCTGGCTGGCCCTGGTTGGTCTTAGGGCCCAGGGCTTCTCTCCCGATTTTGAACTTAAGCCAGAACATGGACAGCCAAAAGCAGCACATTTTTCAGGCCTTTTCAGTCATAGATTACCTTTGTAAGTCCTGTCTTAGCTCCAAGGAAAAGTGGCTTTATAATCATGATGCTTATGCAAGGCCTAGAGAAACGTTCTGTTTAGGCTCGCTTGACCAGGTTTGCACAATACATTGATTCATGCACTGTAATTTACAAAGTAGAAAAGGGAGGTTCACACAGAGGACTAAATTAAAACCAAACAACTCAGAATGGGAGTTACATCATTCACTACATCAGTGTTTTTCCTCAGCAATGCTCAAGATGTGTGGACTTCAACTCCCAGAATTCCCCAGAGCATTCTGGAATTCTGAGACTTAAGTCCACACATCTTAAAAATTGCTAAGGATGAGAAATGTTACAGGTGAGCTTTAACTACTCATGTAAATGTTTAACTACTCATGTAAATGTAAATGTAGCCATGTAATAATTGGCCTATCTTCAGAGGATGGGGGAAATCTTGGGAAGGAGAGCTAAATTATGATTTCTAGCCTGCATTTAAAAAACACCTATTTAGCAGCAAAGATGGGAATTTTGAAAGCAATAAATATTAATGGTGATCATTAGCATCAGACAGGAAACTCTTTTCAGTTGCGGAACCTGATGTCAGCTGTTTCCCAAAGGCATATGGAGTGGGATGGAAACGTGCAGTAAGAAACTTCCTGGACAAGTCACATCCTATTGAACTCCAGAAAGTTCTGAAGAGTGTTTGAGGTCTGCTTGAATAAATAAAAATCCCCCAGAAATGGTATTTTCCTCTGAAAAGGATCCCTGAATTTGCAAAGCATAAAGGGAACCAAGAAACTGAAGACAACTGGGTATTTGTGACTTGTGTCCTAGGAAGATCACAGATTTGGTCTTTCTTTACTATCAGACTGAACATTAAAAGTTGTTGAGTTGCTGGGCAGTCTTCTGTAGGTTTTTCTATATTATTAAACCACTTTGAATCTTCCCATCAAAAGGCAGGGTGTAAAATTCAAATTGCATGACAGAAAGCTATAATAAAGCTGTTAACTATCCTTACACAACAGTTTTGGAATTGTAGAGACCGAAGAACAGCTTTTTCAGTGCATTGGCGCTGTGTGTGTGTGTAAAAAACATTCTAGGTCTTACTTTGCAATTAAGCTCCAAGCCTGTTCATACACAGAAGACTGGTTACATCTACACTCTCAGCAAAATTGTGCCATATTACTCAATGCTTGTCTTTGGCAGCAGCACCCCAAAGAATAAGCTCACATGTTCTTCTAAGACAACAAATGGTGCACCCTTCAGGTGTCTGCCACCCAGAGCTTAGCAGGCTGGTTCATACCCATCACGAGAGAAAAAGCAGAAAACCCCTTTTTTTCAAGTCACCTGGGCAAGCTGACATGTCTGTAAGAGTCATATATATGAGATGGTCAACCATATAAATCAGAATAAATAAATCTCCCAACCTTGACTATCAGTGATCTACATCAAGACTCAGTGCCTAGGAGGCACCATTCCAGCTTAATATGCAAATATGGTCCTTTTTTCAACATCCCCTCCTGCGAGGTTCTCCACTATTAGCTGTGTGCTATATTAGTTATGTAACACAACAGAGAGCCCATCTGATGCAGAGATTCAGATGTAGAACTGGCACTGGGGAGACCCAGGTTTTAGCCCACCTTCTCCACAGCAGCTCAGTGGGTGACTTTGGGCCAATCATTCTCTCTCAGCCCAATCTACAACAGTCAGTATTGTGGGGGAAAATGAGAAGAGAAATCACTATGTATGGTGCCTTGAGCTCCTGAATGAAAAGGATATAAATCTAACAAACAATTTAAGAAATAAGGAGGGATCATGGCTCAATGTCAGCCTATTTTTACTCAGTTGTTCCACAGTTCCGCTACTTGGTGATATCATGAATCTGTAGGCATATAACAACACAAAATATCCTTCCAAGATACAGTCCTGTGTTATCTATCCCAGTAAACAACTATAGCCCCATTCATACAGGGCGAGTTCTGCACCTACAAACTGAGGGCCCATCCCCCTCAAAGAAGACAAACTGAGTTTATTCCACCATTGAAGACTTGCAACCACTTAATTTTGCCATAGTGCAAATAATTTATTTATTGAGCATCAGCACTACTGAATTCAAATTATTTTCCACACAGTCAGGGTCTCACACTGCTCTTGCAAACATCAGACGGCAGTCAAGAATCTGTTAAAAAAGAAAACAATGTTCAGTTTGGGTTTACTAAAGGCAGCAGAATTGAATAAAAGCCCTAAACCCTTTCCACCAACAAACTTAGCGTTCGATACCCATATCATTCTGTGCATTGCTTGTTTTACCAGAGTTTGTCGAATTATCTGCAGCAGCTTTGTTCACAGACTAAGATAAACCAAAAACAGTACAAGATAGCTTAGCAAAATATGCCAGCCCAGGTTACGTGCACCATGCTATAGTTGATTTATTATGGAGAACTGGGTGAAAAAGCACCATCATCTGCATGCTTCCCATCCAAGATGAGGAAGGATATGGTAGCCCATCACCATATACAGTGGGGCAAAAAAGTATTTAGTCAGCCACCAATTGTGCAAGTTCTGTATACAGTGGGGCAAAAAAGTATTTAGTCAGCCACCAATTGTGCAAGTTCTGTATACAGTGGGGCAAAAAAGTATTTAGTCAGCCACCAATTGTGCAAGTTCTGTATACAGTGGGGCAAAAAAGTATTTAGTCAGCCACCAATTGTGCAAGTTCTGTATACAGTGGGGCAAAAAAGTATTTAGTCAGCCACCAATTGTGCAAGTTCTGTATACAGTGGGGCAAAAAAGTATTTAGTCAGCCACCAATTGTGCAAGTTCTGTATACAGTGGGGCAAAAAAGTATTTAGTCAGCCACCAATTGTGCAAGTTCTGTATACAGTGGGGCAAAAAAGTATTTAGTCAGCCACCAATTGTGCAAGTTCTGTATACAGTGGGGCAAAAAAGTATTTAGTCAGCCACCAATTGTGCAAGTTCTGTATACAGTGGGGCAAAAAAGTATTTAGTCAGCCACCAATTGTGCAAGTTCTGTATACAGTGGGGCAAAAAAGTATTTAGTCAGCCACCAATTGTGCAAGTTCTGTATACAGTGGGGCAAAAAAGTATTTAGTCAGCCACCAATTGTGCAAGTTCTGTATACAGTGGGGCAAAAAAGTATTTAGTCAGCCACCAATTGTGCAAGTTCTGTATACAGTGGGGCAAAAAAGTATTTAGTCAGCCACCAATTGTGCAAGTTCTTGCAAATAAATTCTTTAAAAATCAGACAATGTGATTTTCTGGATTTTTTCCCCCATTTTGTCTCTCATAGTTGAGGTATACCTATGATGAAAATTACAGGCCTCTCTCATCTTTTTAAGTGGGAGAACTTGCACAATTGGTGGCTGACTAAATACTTTTTTGCCCCACTGTATACTGTAGGCACTTTCAAGAAGCTAACATGTACATTTGTGTCAGAGCAGTCATATAAAAGATATGATCCCATACATTTGTGTGCAAAGTAAAACAAACCTTTCTGCAGGATTTATGCACTCATCAGTAGCAATCCAAGAAAAATTTGATGCCGCTTTGTGTATCACCATGTATCCCAAGCCAAGCACCAATCTCCTGTAAGATAAGCCACATGCACAGAAGATTTACATCAGGCTTCCGCCTTCAAACTCAATACAAAATCTGCAATATTGAGACTTGGACATCAGTGGAATCAGACTATTTGGCTAGAACACATGCTTGATCAGCATAGTCAATATGATGGGGAAAAAAGAAAGTCATCATGTACCACTGAACAACATGTTTGCAGTCCCTTTGTCTTTATCTTAGAGTACTTGATTTTCAAGCAAGCTTGATAGGAGACAACTGCAGAGAATAGCCTAGCTTTTGATTCTTTCAATTACCCAGTCTCATTAGGTTCTGTGGCAGTCTTAAAAACCATACAACTCTGACAACTACCGTCAAGCTTCTGGATCAGAGTAGCACAATTCATTTTATATTTGAGGTCATTTTAGATACAACACTGTACCATGATTTAGCACAATATGAGCCTCAAGCTCATCAACTTCCTGCTCCCATCCTTTCCAGTTAGGTGCAAGCTTACACAAATTCTAAGCAGTTTAAATCAGGAGTGGGAAACTTCCCAGGTACTACCCATACTGGCTGCAGCTAATGAGAGTTAAAGCCCATCTGGAGGACATCACATTGTTTGAGCTGCCTGTAGTTTTGGCAATCCACAACAAAATTGTGGTTTGTATCCCCCTCCATTCACTAATACTTAAACTAAATACAGTTCACAGCACAGACAGCTAAGGAGAAACTTTGATTAAACCATAATGAAATGTTTCCTATGAACTGCCTTTTCAGTCAATTTGGAACGCAGAAGTCTGCAACTTAGGCAGCTTCAAGAACCAATTTCATCAAACTCAACTAGGATTTCCAAGTTCTTTCCTCCCACATTTTCCCAATGTGCATAGATCCATCCAGATAGCCTTAAGAATTTGACCTCAACTTGAAGTCTTCAACATTACCTTTCATTCTTTAAGCCCAAAGGGAAATCATACAAAGTACTTCATACATCCTTCCAAAATCTTTAAAACAAGATTGACCAGGATAATCCTTGTACTGAACATTTTACTCTTTACCTGTGTAGTTGAGTTATGCCATGAACCCTTGGGAGAGGCAGGATTTGTTCCAGGACACTCCATGGTACATGGTCTCCAAATAATTCATCATAAGGAGGTGAAAAGCATTCCCTTCCAGAGAACTCCAAAATGTTCTTTCCTCCAGGACCAAGTCAATCCAACAATTCTGTTCTGAAAGTGTTCCAGAAGTGAATTGTCTGGAAAGCTTCCAGTGAGAACAGCCAGATCAGCATAGTTCAGGAGGGAAATGTAACACTACAGAGTCCTCCTAAAGGTTCCATTTAGGAAATGGGATACTGAGATTACTTTTCTAACTTAATAAGAACATAAAAAAACAAACATTCTCACCTCTATGGTTACTGGATGTGCTTGGAACAAGCAGCCCAATTCGTTTGAGGTTTATTTTAAGTGACTCCTCTTTTTCTTCCATCTACTGGAAGAATCCTGCTATTTCTTCATGGATCCATTTGAATCCTAAAATGATACAGGAGACCTAGCAGTTACATTATGGGCTAGTCTGCCTTGGGAGGAATAAGCAAGCACTCCAGCTGATGTATCAGACAAGATTTGGCTAAGACAGTAAGATCAACAGCATCGCTCTGATGGGGAAAAAAGCTTTAGTCATCATATACATCAGCTCTAAAGACACACCAGAGAAGGGATGATTCCCAGGACATTTGCAACTATGACTATAATTTCCTTGTTTCAAAATTTTCCTATTTGCCAATCTAGCTTTCACAAAGAAATGACATGTAACCAACAAATAATTTACAGGTAGCTTAAATTCTTTTCAATTAAAATGATTATCTATTAATGCATCATACTTTCCAGCCACATGATCGCTTTTGGAAAGAATTCCTATGGAAATTTCAGCAACCCAAAGTGCAAAAATTAACAAAAATGTGATCCTTAAGGTACTGATATTTATCTTTTTTTTTTTTTTTAACTCTGCTTGCAAGAATGAATCTGCTTTTAACTACTGTACAAGGTGATCAAGCAAGCTAGTCAGTAAAACATTGGGATTTACAAGAGAAAAGCATAAAACAGGAACAGTATTGTTGGCTGGTGTGGGTCTTCCGGGCTGTGTGGCCGTGTTCTGGAAGTTTTGTTTCCTCACGTTTCGCCAGCACCTGTGACCGGCATCTTCAGAGTGCAGGAGCACAGACAGGAGCAGTTCTCTCTGTGCCCAGCTCTCTAGGAAACAAAACTTCAAGAACACGGCCACACAGCCCGGAAGACCCACACCAGCCATCGTATGCTGGTCGTGAAAGCCTTCGACAATACAGGAACAGTATTCTTCCTCCTCTTTAAGTAGGAAATGCATATACACAATACTTCCTCCGTGGTGCTGCTGAAAAGCATACCCAGCTTGGCACACCATGCCACTGAATGAATGGGCTTAGAGTCTCTCTTCAGAACATATCCTCCTACCTAGGAAAGTTAGGGAAGGAGGAGCAACTTCCACCATGCTTACAAGTTTGTAACAGGCAAACAGAACCTGACAATATGGGTTTATTACTCCCATAATTTCCAACCAAAACTCACATTGGGTAGGAATTTGAAAAATTGCAATTCCTATGAAGAAGAAGAATCTGGCTCTTATTTCTTCTATTGTAATAAGGCAGATACAAAGCATGCACAGCTCCCTTTAAAATATTCATAGGAAATACTTAAATATTCAAAGCGTCATTGCTATGAGATGGGCAGCCCCATTCACTTAAATAAATAAAATTTCAACACAGAAATAAAGTTTTGCCAATTCAAGCATATCCTTTAGGAGTCTGCAAGATTTCATATGTGAACAGGAAAGAGACTCCACTATGACTGAAAGCTTCAGCAGAACAGTGTTAACATTTTGAGCTAAGTACATGTACATGTGAGAGAGCCGGTTTGCCGTAGTGGTTAAGGCATCAGGCGAGAAACCAGGAAACCGGGAGTGCTAGTTCTGCCTTAGGCACAAAGCCAGCTGGGTAACCTTGGGCCAGTCACTTTCTCTCAGCCCTAAGAAGCAGGCAACGGCAAACCATTTCTGAAATCTTGCCGAGAAAACCACAGGGGCTTGGCCAGGCAGTCACTAGGAGTCAAGAACTCCTGGCACAAAACCCCCCTCAAAGGCATAAAAATAATTAAATCAACATGTGCGCACTATTAAAATCTTTCACCCTTTACTGCTATAACCTTTCTGCACCCAACTAAAAATACTCAGAAACTCACATGTCCTTTTTTTAAAACGTTCACCACAGAACTGATAATAGCACTTTAGGTGATTCCACATCTTTCAGCTTGGAGAGCCTTGCGACAGCTTCCTTGGTACATTCTTCACAACACTGCCTGAAACAGAGAGAGATCCCGGACAGAGAGATTACTCTACATTCCTACCAAAACCAAGGCATACCGATTCCCAGCCAGCTCCCGGCTTCCCTCCTCACAGTACAACTGGTGCATCAGACAAGTTCTGGCTAACAGCGAAGAATTCAACACTTCCGCTCTGATGGGGAAAAAAGTCTTAAAAGTCATCATGAGCACCAACTAAGCCCCCAAGCGCTAAGGCTGCATCCCAGGAGAAGGCTACTGTGAAAGAACAATGCAGCGGGGAGGCTCCTAAATACATTTTGCATAATCTTAAGGGAAGGTAGACCCGGCTAATATATCGCGGAAACAGAAAAGGGGGGGATGAGAAACCGGCAAAGCAAGCTAAAATCTCACGAACACCGAAGAACGTGGCGGATGGCGGCGGATCGTCAAGCACCACCGGCCACAGCTCTCCCTCCAACCTACCTTCGCGGAAGAATCCAAAAAGAATGCGAGCGTTTTCGTCGCGTCTTTATATACGCTAGAGCAGCCTTGTGCGCAGGTCCGTCCAAGGTATTTTGGGAAATGTAGTTTTCAGAGGCCCTAGTGTATGTTAATATTCGCATGCTGTTCTTTGAGAGGTACCTGGCGTTATGAGACGGTACAAACTACGTTCGAGGATTCAGGGTAACATTTTAGCTTTGCAGATTTGATACATAGACATTGAACGCAATTCTACCTCGTTTAGTCATCCTGGAATATAGTAGTGGTGTGAAACGTAGAAGGGCAACGGGCAATCATCCTTTATTCGGATGGTAAAAGCGAAAACATGGCTATATAATAGATAAAACGTGACAAATACGGATTTGCTCTGCGTAAGACTAATGGAAGCTCAATCGTGTACATGTTTACTCAGGAACATTTCTCGAAGCTCAATAGAAAGTACACCTGTAGAAAGGAACGCAGACTTTATGGGATAACTTTCATAATCATATTGTTTTTGCAAAGTCAAAAAGAATATATAATAGAGAACTAAAGTCACTAAATAAATCCAAGGAAATTGAATTTAACGGGTTGCATACCCAGCTTAAATCTTGTTCACTTGTCAGAGCAATCACAGTCCTGCTACTGCACACCACAGTGTACTCATAAGAACTTAAAATCCTTCCCATAATACATAACCATTTTTCCTTAAAAAACCAAAACACTGCTGTGTTAGGTTCTCCATCCTGTACCACATGTTAAGAAAGATGATGAAAACAAATGCATCCTTAAGTCTCCAGACAAAGTTAAATGGGAAACACTAGAAGAAGCAGGGTAGATAACTGGAGGGCAGATACCGTGGCACGCATGCTTTGAAATGAGTGGTTAAGGCAGTGTTTCTCAACCTCTGGGGCTCGCTGGGGAATTCTGGGAGTCGAAGTTGCTGAGGTTGAGAAACACTGGGTTAAGGTGTTGGACCAGAAAGGGGAGAGCCGGGTTCTAGTCCACCCTCAGAAACAGCCCAGCCTTCATTTAGAAGATCCTTCAAGGGATTGTACAAGATGACGCTTAATAATCAGAAAACACTTCTTTCCTTAGGGTTACTGTGCTAGCAAGTCTGCTGTGATTGAATGTCATGAAGCTCTTAGCCATGAAATGAAAGCCAGAAGAATCAGTGATGCTGGGACTCTCCTACCATGTCTTTGTTTCATTAATTCCAGAATGTTTCAGGGCTGTGGAAACAGGTAATAATGCTATGCTTTCATATACACAGATCCCAGTCAATAAAGAATGTACTGTCCTCCCAAGATGGGCAACTTCCAGATGTGTTGGATTACAGTGCCCGTTACCTAACTAGGGGCATGGGAGTGTAGCTGAAACACATCAAAAAGATATCATCTATGGCAAAGATGCAAAACAGCTTGAATTCAGACACATTCATCCAATAGCCAGCACAGTACTGTAGTGGATAAATTGAGGGACTAAAAGGAGATCCAAATTCAAGTCTACCCCAATGACTGGAGGCACTGGGTGGCTTTGAGCCTATAAGCCCAACTTACTTCACAGGATCATTTTGGTGGATAAAAATGTGGAACAGGGAGTGCTATGTATGCTTTCTTGAGTTGCACTGAAGGAAGGAATAAAATTGGAAGTCTTAGCATGGATTCAGATCAACTACAGTGGGGCAAAAAAGTATTTAGTCAGCCACCAATTGTGCAAGTTCTCCCACTTAAAAAGATGAGAGAGGCCT